CGGCCAGCACCAAAATCCGCTTCAGTTTCAGCGTGGCATCTATGGTCGGAGGAAGCCGTGGTTGATGAATTCTTGCAACGACAGCCGCTTCACTGAAAACAAAACAGGCGTCCAAACGTCAGCTATGTAACCATCCAGAGTTTCAGCATTTTGGTTGAGGGGAGAGGCGGCATGACCAGCGTCGACAGACCTGGATTCGTGCATAGTAGTCTGGTGCATATGTCGATGGAATCAGGATGCAGGCTGGGCACAACGAGTTGCGAGAACGGAAGAGAGCTACTAGTTCTGTTTATGCACTGAAGCATCTGAAGAAAGGAACGTGTGAGCCAAGGAGGACTGTTGCGAAATCTAAGTTTCTGATAGGATGATTGAACACCATTGGCGAGTGAAAGGGCAGCACCTGCACATTGCTTCTACCACGGAACGGTGGGTAGCCGTTCAAGAGCTCAAAGAGGATCGCGCCGATACTCCACAAGTCTACCTGCACGCAGGAGATGTTCAGATTTGTGCGATTCATGTGGCCAAAAAGGTTGGGCATACCTTGTCATCGTACTTCTGAAATAGCATGACTTCAGGGGCCATGTACAAACGGGTGCCACAGGCTGTCTCCGCGTACTCCCCAGGATGAAGAACCCTAGCAAACAGAGCAACAAATGTGACTGGATTTCTGTTTGCCCAAAAATTCGATCGCCTAACGAACGAGCCTTACTTATCACGCTGAACCTACTCCACCATGTTTAGCATCATTAAATATATTTTTGGTTTCTGCTACTCTGATGTGGTTCAGTAGCTAACAGATGTTGAAAAACGTCTAATGATCTATTTCTCAGCTGAGTGAAGGATGAGTGGCATATTTTCGTTTTCTACAACTACTCATACATGACTAAAACAAATAATTATCATCAATCCAAGAACATACCTGGACAGGCCAAAATCGGATATCTTGAGTATCGCATCGCTGCCGGGACAAGAGAGAAGGATGTTCTGCAACAATCCATTCAACAGCTCTATCAATTCAAAATTGGCAGTTTCAACCTAGTTGGAAAGCACTAAACAAATAGTTCAACAAGGGATTTCAGTCCCTAGACCTCAGGCTTCAAGTCCCGGTGGACGACGTGGTGCCTGCGGAGCACTTGCAAACCAGCTCCTGCCAGCCACAGGGGGCAAGCTCCAGTTTTCACACATCACATCGAATCGAAATCGATGGTGGAAACAAGAATTCGTCGAACAATTGGGGAATACTGTAGATGATAGGATGAATTACCGATCTGTCTCATGAAATTCCTGGCGACGCTCTCCCCCACCCTGCCGCCGGTGCGCTGGATGTAGGCCGCCAGGTCTCCCCCCTCGCACAGCTCCATGACGAGGTAGATGCAGCCCGGGGTCTGGGGCAGAATCGATTGTTACAAGACGAAGGACTGTGGCAATCAAGGGAGGGAGCTTAGGGTTGGTCGTACCCGGACGACGTCGAGGAGGCGGATGATGTTGGGGTGGCTGACGGCGGCGAGGAAGCGGAGCTCGCAGTCGAGGCTGCCGCGGAGGCGGGCGGGGAGGCCGGCCAGCCGCACCTGCTTCACGGCCGCGGGGGCGCCGGTCGACAGCCGCACCGCGCGCCACACCGACGTGGCCGGGGGCCGCCCGCCCAGGCGCTCGCGCAGCTCGTAGCCGCCCACCACCGGCGGCGGCGCCTCCGTGCTCCTCCCTGCCATCGAGAACGGACTGGAAGGCCCGTACCAACCGAGACAGAAAAAAAAAATCTTGGAATGAAAATAGCAATTCTGCTTGGGCAAAGAGCCCCATTATCTCAGAGGCCGTGAGCCCAGGATGAGAAAGATCAAACTATTAGCAAAAGCCCATCGATTATTCTTCTACTCCTGCGCCTAACTGTTCTATCGGAGGATCTCAAAAAAAAAAAAAACTGTTCTATCGGAGAAACTAAAATGAAAATGGAGGTTATCCCAGCAGGGTCATTTTTTATGTCCTGGTAGCACGCCAAGTGCGTCTAGCCACTGTCACATATCACGTGTTGGGTGCACCCTCTGAATTCCATATTTATTTATTTTCTTACATATTTTCGGGTTTACATGGGTTTTCTTGGGTTTTTAGTTTTCGCCCAGTTTTTCTTAGGTTTTGTAGAGAAAATATCATGGATCTTTTTTTTTGTGAAAAAAAATTGTGCTTCCACGAAAAGCACAGATTTGCTTCTCGTGAAGACACAAATTTGTTTTCGCGAAAGAAAAAAAAAGTTCTTCTAGATTTGATTCTCTGAGAAACAAAGACTTACTTTTCGTGGAGGCACATATTTGCTTACGCGAGCTTCTAAAAAAAATGTGCTTCCATGAGATGCATTTCCTTTCACGAGAAGCACATTGAAACGGGAAAAAAAATGTGCTTCCACGCAGTGGCGAATCTTGGAAGAAAATTGAGGGCGGGCTCAAAGTAACGGTGTGAAAAAAAACACTGACTCTCAATTCTTTTTTTCAAAGAAGGTCAAAATTTGCTAGAATACTACTGAAAACATGTACTATGCACTAGAATTGTTTCAGATTTTTTTAAAATATAAAATTTTGAACCAAAAATTGGTTATGTTTAGCAAAATAGCCAATATCTCAAAATCTTGCAACCCAAATTACCTCAGAATTTCCCAGATACTACTGGGCACACATAGTATTTACTGTAATTTTTTGGAATTATTTGAAACTTATCAAATGTTAGACTTTAGCAAAATTGCCATGGTTCGAACTATAATAATATAGTAATGGTAGCAGCCTCGTGCGTGCTCTCTGGGACGATGGGAAGCAGCAACGGCCTCATGCGAGCGAGCCAGCGAACAAGTGGTGTGGGGCTGGGCTAGAAACATCAAACGTTTGGCTGGGCTGGGCCTTAAGTGTAGTAGAAAAAAAAATTGGCAGCGCTGGAGGGCAGGCTCGAGCCTGCTAAAGCCTGGCCTGTAGATTCGCCACTGCTTCCACCGGAGGCAAATATGTGCTTCTCATAGAGGCACAAATTTGCTTCTGCGAGAAGAACATCTATTCTTCTCTAAAAAAAGAAAAGAAAGTGAAAAGAACCATGGTTCCATCTCGTTTTTTTTTCTCTTTCAATTTTTTCTCTTTTTATGTAAATAAAAGTTCATCGAAACCCATTAATATGGGATATTTTTGAAAATCTCGACACGAGAAATCAAACGATGAAAACTGTTCGGGGTTTGGACGCACGGTTCAAGAGATAAAACATTTTGAATAAACGAATCTATGACTCCATGTTGCGACAAGTGGCACATATATAGTGCGCCACTTGTCAGCGCCTGAGAAAGTGGGAGTGATCTTTCCAAGAGGTAAAACTAGTTATTTGATATTCTCTACATAGTGTGAAGCCCTAAAAAAATGTTCTCTACATACACAACAAACTGTAAAATTGCCCTGTTTTATTTGTACATAGTTGTCCTACTCCAGACAAGTCAGTTGGCCAAATGAACAATAACCAAACGACCAGAAAGGGCACATGCGACTTTTTAGAAAATGGAAGCTTTATTGCCCGGCCTCTGCATCGTAGTCTCTCATCTTGCAACATGTGGGTGTGGCGCTCTCGCAGCTCCCAGCCACCCACTTTTGCCAAAGCTGTGAAGCAGTGGGAGAGAGAGTGCCATTTATTTTCCATATGTTTTGAGGGGATTCATTTTTTTCATGGAATGAAAATAGCCATATGTTTTGAGGGTATTTTAGAAAGGTGTGCCAACAACTCTGCCAAATGGGCCTAGCCCAACCTTATACTGGATTTTCCTTCTATGCCTGTCGTCATTGAATTGTTATCTTCTCTTCTATTAAAGAGGATATGTCGTCGTTGTGATGGTTCGACCTCCTACGTGTTTGTTTTTCTTTCTATTTGTTTGAGGGTAAAAATAGGTGATGGAAAACCTACAGGTTTCTTTTTCTTTCCAATTGTTTGAGGGTAAAGAAAGTGAAGTCTTCTTTTGAGAGAAAAAAAGTGAAGGTTGGGAGCAAAGCAATACTACTCACTATCCTCTTGTTTTTTTTAGGGAATACTATCCTCTAGTGGAGCCGATGGATGTGACCCGATTTTGTGGATAGGGCCGGTGTGATAAGCCATACGGTCGGGCCCAAACCTGGTCTAACAGCCGTGCTTCGTGGGCCTTCCCAGAAGCACATATGCTGACACGTCATGAGCCTGGCACAACCGTGACACGCCTGAGCCGCTAGGTGAGGCCTGCGTGTCAGCACGACACGACGGGTAAGTAACCTGGTCGGCCTAGGCACGCCACTGATTGTTTGTAATTTATATTTTTCTTTTGTATTTTTCTTATCCTTTTATAATTTAAGGCGTGACTTTGTACATTTTTTCCTTCCCAGGATGGAAGGTTTTAATAAGGCAATAACTAATAAAGTCCAAGATTTATCTCATATAGCACTTTACCTCCTCCTTTTTTTGTATCTTTTTTCTAAAAAAAATGCAGATATTTCTAAAAATTCAAAGTAATTGGGGGAAAAAGGCCAATAAAATATAAACATGCCACGCCCAGCTAATGTGCCGTGCCAGACCCAAAAGGATGGGTTGTGCCGTGCCATGCTGCGTGGCGCCCGTTGGCCAAGTTCTGGCACCCCTATCCCCACCACCACAAGAACTGCGATGGCTGATGGCGGCGGCGGCGAGCATAGCAATCTCAACGACCCCATCCCTTCCCCCGCAAGAACTGCGACGGCGGATGGCGGCGGGGAAGACGTCGTGGAGGGGAGCCCTCCGCCGTTCAAAATCCGCAAGCTGAGCGCTCCGGGTACGAGTGAGGCCATGGCTGCCAGGGACGGCAAGATCGGCGAGCGGATGGATTCGGATGAGGCCATTGAGTCGATGGCTGCCAGAGGCGGGCATGTGGATACAGAGATGACCCAATTCAAGTATGTCGAGGTTGCGGATGAGGACACGATGAACGGAGGCAAATCAAAGCAGCAGATCAAGAACCCAGGGGAGGAGAGGGGGAGGTCGAGATGGACCTAGGCAAATCAAGCTCCATCATCTCCGAGCAGGAGATCAAGGAGCTCTGTGCACAGATGGACGAGATGGTCGCTTTTATGAATTACAGGATCATACCGTCAGCCCCACTTATCTGCAGCAGCAGCAATGGGACAAAAGATGAAGAAGACAAGGCGCCGCAGTCCCCGGGGATCGACGGCATCTTACAGCGGCTAGCTGACATGCGGCGCGACATGTCCAAGCTCAAATCGGAACTGGCCCCTTTCTGGCACGAATACCCATATGAGAAGAAGTCGGAGCTGACTCCGGAGGAGAGGGAGAAGAGGATCAAATCCTGGCACGAGTATGAGAAGCTGGACAACAAGGACAAGGCCAGCAAGGAGATGGAGTTCGACGTGGACGACTTCGAGGGCTACTGTCAAGGCATGACAGCTTTAGTTGAACACTTTAGATACACAAGTAAGATATATATGGCCAACACTACACGCCGAGACAGACCCCACACCATCTTGCTTCCAACAAGATCACATTGCAGATCTTCTCCTTCAAAATTGCCAACATCGATTTGGACCTGCAATGGCCACTCCTGGAATGGCCACTCAAAGTGTACGGCCTCATCGCTGCACGAGACAGTGTGGATCGCAGACGCAATTTTCTCTTCTTACGGGAAAGGGACAATTTCCAAGAGATCACCCAAGAAGTATGCGTCTGCCGTATTCTGTTAAATCTCCTTTTTATCTCCTCCTTGTTACACGTGTCTTACTTTGTTGATCCATTGGTTTGTTGCAATTAATTAAGCATGTGTAATGATGATGCTTGCAGAAACCCTTCTTGTGCTTGACTGGCCCATCTCGTGCAATTTTGGCTCAGGACCATGTTAGCCTTGAAGTCCAGCTAAAACTTAAGGGTCCCTCGGAGTCTGAGGACACAATGTTGATCACTAAGAGATGCCAGCACAGTCACTATCATGCCGATAATGATTTATATACTCTTACCTTGGAGAACCGTCTTTGCACAACAGAGTTAAGCCTGCAGCAAGTATACCGTGAATCTGTCCAAGCAACTTTCTTGCGCGTCGGTGGCTTTGTTAAAGGCAGTACAACCCCTTTCATTCATGGAGGCCGTGTTGCTTGCTCCTCACCACCTCATGGAGGTCAAGGCACTGCCCCGCCCACCCAAGTTGTGTTACTTGATTCTCGTTATTGTGATGGTGGGAAGATGCCAATAGGCGAAGAAGATGGTTACCTTGATCTGTCGAGGCATGTTGTTTCTGTTGAATTACGGACAATGAGTGAAGATTCTGAAGAATTGGAAGAAACCCTGAAAGTTGTCATAGAAGCCTACTCAGACTCTCCTCCTAAAGTTTCTGCGAAAGCTGATGTCATGGTCAAGCCTCGGTATTGCGGCATAAGTGAACATGAATGTGTCCTTCACGGCTCTACGGTGAAGATTACCATTGCTTGGTCACCTATTCTTCGAACCAACAAGGTTATTCTGTGAGAGGGATAGATGTTCGATGGTGCTCAAGCGTGAATGTTATGAAGCATGATACCCACTGCCCTGTTATATCCATCTATTTCTCTGTTTTGCCAGTAGTTGTTTGTCCGTTCAAGTATTCAATCAGTTATGTAAGATGTGGACATATTGTTGTATCGATTTGCTATGTAAGATTTCGACCATGTGCTTATCGACTCTGGTTTATAAGTCATCTCTAGATGTGTTTCTACTTCTATTACTGCTATAACGTGCAAGTCAAGCTGTGAGAATTGTTTCTGGTTTGACTGTTAAGCAGGCACGTTATGCAAAGTGTCTGTAATGTTTTGTTAATATTCCAGGCCATGTTACTCTCTCTAGTCTAGAATAATATTTGCTTTCATTTTTTTACAAATAGAATCAGATGGATATGCTCTGCTGGGAACTTGAGCTGCAGCAAAACGCTCAGTTTTCTTTTTTGTCATGCTTAAAATCTCTGCCCAGTCGATAGAAATATGGAATGTGAGCTCATTTTCACTGGTTATATGGCATCAGTTGTACACACTATGCAGGCATGTTACGTTGCTCATGAACTACTGATCAGTCTTGTTTAACATGTGATCAACTCGGTGCACATCTATGCTGTAGAATGTTGTGCCAGAAGAATGCTATGAAGTATGGTATGATGCTCATCTATCTACTTCTGTTTTGCCAGTAGGTGGTTATTTGTTTGTTCAAGTACCGAGCCCAGTTATACCCTTGGACCAGTTATATCTATCGACTACGAATTGTTAAGTTATGTTGTGTGAAATATTCTGTTTTGATTTCTACCATAACTTGTATTCTGTTTTAATATTCTTCTTATCGAAGTTGCATTTAACAATTTACTGTTTAGCTTCATATTATCTTCTTTGTTCATTTTATCTTGTTGAAGCTTGTCTGGAACAAGTTAATCAATTATACATTGTCTTTTATGGAATTCGCTTAATAATCATTTTATTTCCTTTTTTTTGAAAAGGAGGAATACCCCCGGCCTTTGCATCTGGACGATGCATACGGCCACTTTATTAATTATAACACAAGACCTTACAAAGTCGTACAACAGTAAGACCAAAGCCACCATCTTCGCAACCTCTGTCGCTACTCCTATCTATCTGATGAAGGGGCGCTGATGGTCTGGGCCTAATACCAAACAGACCTCGCAGCCAAACCTAACATCTGAGACCTGAGGTCCCAACCAGGACTCCTTCCGGGTATGGGCACCCACCAGTCCGGCGTGCTCTTCAACCAGGCCCCCTGCCGGGTATGAGGCCGCCGCAGCCACGTACCATCAATCCATCTTCAGAGCTGTACTGTTGCATGAACCGTGCCAGGCCTCTCTGCCATCGACGCCACCACGACGCCAGAGAGCGCCACCATCCTGCGCTCGTCCATCATCACATGCCCACCGGCGATACCCCTACTGCTCCATGCCGCCGAGACTCGCCGTTGTCGACGTACCAGATGCCACGCCGCTCCTCCGACGCGAACACGAAAAACAGGAAACGCCCTAAAGATACAAGGGGCACTCTGCACAACATGAAAGCCGCCGCGAGCAGCTGCAGAAATCCAGCCGACAGCCAAAGCCCCCACCTTCATGAGCCCACACCCGAATCCTAGCTCCCCAGGCAACGCCTCCAAGGAGGGGATGACGCCCATGGCGCCACCGCTGCCCAATCCAGACCGGATTTTGGGTTTTCACCCGGGAGAGGACCGGAGGTGACAAGAATAAGGACCACGACACCGCCTTCAGGAAGGATGCGTCGCCCGAAGCCGACGCCGCTGTCGAGCCGAACCAGCCGGCCTAGGGTTTCCCCTGGTCCCAATCTGCACCACCATCCCCAGAAGCACCGGAACTAGCAGCATCCATCGGCCACAAGCGCAAAGGGGAAGGAGCGAGAAGGAGGGAGTAGCAGGCCTCCAGATCTGGCGATGACGAAGGCCCCGAACTGCCGCCGCCAAGCGCCGACTCCCCACCACCCGAGCGGTCGAGGACGCCGGGCAGAGTCCCCGCGCACACCGTCCAGAGCGCGAACGGCGGCGCCGAACCAGCAGGGGCCGCCGCCCCGTGGATCCAGATCTCCGCGAAGGGACGATGAAGGCCTCGCCGCCACCTTCCTCGGCAGCCGCGCGACGCATCGGCGGCTCCTCTAGTGGCGACGAGGAGGAGAATAAGGGGGAGGGGGACCGCCGGCGG